GGCCACATACCAGGGCCCTAAAGCAGCTACTACGGATTCCAGGAGCTTGATAATATGCAGACATCCCAGGATCTGAATATGGAGGCTCTGCAGCAGATATGTATCCAGTACTAGAAACAAGCCAAGACTAGAATAGGCACCAAACAAGATAACAAGACAAGACTAGAAGAACCCAGAACATGTACACAAGACATGAAGGAAACAAGAACAGTACATGGACAGGGCAAGAAAGGACTGTACATGAACTGGGAGTACAAGACAAAATAAAACATGACAAGAGATACAAGGCAAAACAAGAGGAAAACTAAGTATTATATACGTAATAAACATTGGAGATTTAGACATACATAAATGGTCAAGATGTATGCAGACCACCACTCCACCAAAGTACTCCAATTACGGTGGGTCCTTACTGCCTAGTCATGCATGACTAAAAGTACATTGCTAAACACAAATACACACACCAGTCAAGCCATAAGACTTACTATCCCCACAGAAAATCTCACTTTAACAGTACTACTACAGTAACACTACTACTGAATAAGAGACCTTCATCTATCCTAACACCAAAACAGCTGGTTACACAACCTTTGAAAATCTTCAAGAGAAATCTAGTGTTACAACTGGAAATAAATGGACTACAGAAGAAATCAACCATACACCATGAGGAGGAAGAAATTCCCATACCCACATTCTTACCTGCAGTGAACTGTCAACCCGAATCCATACCCCAAGATGGCATAACAACAGATATAAGGGAAATGATTCTAGAAAAACAAGCAGTCGTGGAGGCAGGGCTAGACGAGCACCAGAGCGGACGCAAACCTCTGGAGCTCCGGGACAGAGTGTTAAATATAGCCGCACACCCGGAACACAAGAGCCCACAGGCGACAGCCCGACGTACCCTCCAACAGAGACGACCATGGGGCGCAAAAATAGAAAATATCAGCCACCAGCGACCCCGAGAATGCCGGACATAAGGCTCTCATTTGAGAGGCCCACAGCCGCGACCGCGGCTCCCGCCAAAATGGCGCCCGCGGCCCAGGCTGCAGAGGAGGCCTCAGAAGCATCCCAGGAGGAGGAAGACATTGCCACCTCACCTGAACCGGGAGAAGACTACCCATAAACGGACTCTGATGAGGACGCCTCCCCAGTAACAAAAGGTGACATTAAAAACCTCCTGCAAAACATAAGACAAGTCTGGAAATCGGACCTGAAAGAGGCCCAGGCAGATATAGGAGACCTCCGCAAGAGGATCTCTGAAATAGAGAATAAAGAGCAGTCTCGGGAACACCAGAGGCAGGACACCCGTAACCAAGTAGAGGACCTGGTCACAAAAGTGAAGAAACTCACCCGGTCGGTGACCGCTCTGGAATCCCGCCACAGACGCAAGAATGTCCGCATGCGGGGAATACCGGAAACAGTGAGTGAAGAAGCCCTGCTACCCTTCACCCAGAGATTGGTGGCCTCGATGGGGTTAAAGAATAAAACTACCGAGGGGATGGTGGTCTCTGCGTTCAGAGTCCGGAAAGCAGCAGCGGCACCTCAAGAAGCATCGAGAGACACCATAGTCATCACCAGAGACATTGCGGTGAGAACCGCTATCCTCAATAAATCCAGAGAGATCAAGACGTTCCGACTCGAGGGCTGCTGCGTGACGATCTATGGGGATCTCCCCTTCGAGGCGCTGGTGGCGAGGAGACAACTGGCACCAGTAGCCAAGAAACTGAGAGAGGCGGAGGTCCGGTACCGCTGGGGAGAAGATGGAACGCTGTACATCCAAAGGGGAAACGAGACACTTACCATATCTGCTGGGGAAGACCCCACGACACTCTGGAAGATCTTGAACCTACCAAGCAAGGATCCAAAGAATACTGGCGTCTGATTATGAGCACGCCAACAAAAGTCGACAGAGAGCCTGCGGGCAGAGTAGCCCTATAACAAGGACTGATCCTCTATTTGCCTTACCCCATGCCAGGCTACATACTTCACAGACCACACATGACGCATATAACCAGCGAGAGAGACGGCCACACACTAAGACGGACTGAAAGGCAACCCATGTCACTCAGTCCCCCAGACAATGCCAGACACACTAATAGACGCAACACCACATAGCCCTGTCGCCCATCACGGACAACACAGATGCAATGGCACCCACAGAGAATGAACAACACAAGACCACACAAAATAGACACACATGCACACTCACAGGAGATGAGAACACACACCAGACTACAACAAGACCCAATTGAGGGTCATCTGAGTGACGTCTCAGTAAGAGCAACAGAACTCTAAAATGCATGACTTATAAAAGAGGCACAAGAATAATGCTCACCTCTATGATATACTCTGTATCAGTTGTATCTTTTGATAAAAATACTCAATAAAATACAAATTAAATAGAAAAACAAAAACAAAAAACAAGCAGTCGTTAACCTGAGGGCAAGACTACCTAAGATCACTGGAAAGCAAGCACCAGACAGCATACTAGCTGCAGTTAATGAAGCATTGTCCACAATCCCATCCTGCACCATCCCAGAAGCGAACAGGCTCATATATGCCACAGCACTAGTGGTCTTTCAGCTACTTGACTACAAGATCAGGCTCAAAGAGAAGCAATGCCCACCATGGAGACTTCGACTGGAAGCCAAGACAAAGACAGCATGGAAGGAAGTTAGTAAGCTGGATCAACTTAACAGAGGTGGAAAGATCAATGATAGATCCTGGCTGCTGTGGAAATACAAAGATATGCCCATACCGGAGGTGCTGGAAACAGCTAAGCAAAGACTGATAGCACTGGCAACCAAACTGAGCAGATACACTAGAGATGCAGAGGCTAAGATAGTCAATGCCCTCTTTACCAAAGAACCATCCAAGGTGTATGCACAGCTACAGGGTAACCACCACATCTCCTCTGAAGACCCACCCAGAGCTGAGACTGAACAGTACTGGAAGAATATCTGGGAGCAAGATGCATCTCATAACACCGAGGCCCAGTGGCTACTAGACCTGAAAGCAGACCACTGCATGCTGCCAGAACAGGTTCCAGTAATCATCACAGTTGAAGATATCCAACAGAGAGCAGCCCCAGGACCTGACATGATCCACAACTACTGGATAAAGAAGTTAACAACGCTGCATGAATGCCTAGCAGCACAAATGAATCAGCTACTAGCAACAGGCTCTCATCCTGACTGGCTAGCACAAGGCAGAACAATACTGCTCATGAACGACCCTCACAAGGGAACAGCACCATCCAACTACCGACCAATAACCTACCTTCCCACAACATGGAAACTCCTGTCAGGCATCACAGCCTCCAAGATCCAAGGGCATTAGTCAATATATGAGTGTGACAAACTCCCCTTTTTTAGGGAGTTTGCCATGCATTTTTGGAGGGGACTACTTGCCAGCCTCCTGCCCTGTGACTATGGCCCCTTTAAAGTATTGGGTCTTAAGGCACTTGGGATAGAACCCTCTGTTCCTGGATTGCATCTTTTGCCTTAATTGCATGGATTTTATATTCCCTCTGGTGTATTCGTGGATTAGTTTGTGCAGTTCTAACTTCTATTACAGCCAGGATGATGTTGTGCTAAAAAGTGACTTCCATGGGAAAATCTGCCTCTTCCCCTCCCCCTTTTTCCTGTTCTATTGTTCTCCAGCAGGGTGTTGTCCCAGGGACACTTCCAGACCAATTGAAGCTTGCTGCTTTGTCCCTCCTCAATCTCCCATCAGCCCATGCTATTTTTCTGACTTCACCCTTCCTTGTACTATAGGACACTTTTAACATTGGACATATTGAGTGCTCAGATCCAAGCTATCTGGGGATATGCTGGACATATAGGTTAAACACTGTATTATAAGAGTTATGTACTTTTATGTGGTTTTTGTGACAGTTTTTGACTTAGAGATATTTCCTGTTACTGTAGATAATTAAATTACCATAGCCACTTAAGCCAATTATCTCCAGGATAGAGGAGGAGATAGACCGGTCGCACAGCCTAAATCTGTGGAACTGTTTTGGGCATGAAAGTCATGCTTGCGGTCGGTCAAATGTGACTTACATGACACTTTTGAAACCCTGCTCTGATCTGGGTGATTTTTGTATTTGTTGTTTACCCAGATCAGGGCTATCCAGGGATGTAGGATTTATGGGGATATGCTTTTGTTTTGGGGGTGTTTCTGGACTTTGGGTAAAACTGGATATTTTCTGCCTGTGGTAATCAGGTTAGTCCATTGTATTTGGTAATTGTATCACAGGCAGAGGGGAGGGTTTGTTATTAGCTGGGAGTGTCTGACTGTACTGTACTGTGTTGATTGGCTGTTGTAACTTTGTGTCCTGTGTTCCACAAGGTCCATGTGGGTGGTAACCTTGTGGGGAAATGTGTATAAAAGAAGCAGCTGTATCATTAAACCTGGAGTTCTACTTCACCCTCAATTTAGAGTCCTCTCTCTTATTGGGGGAATCTGCTACAAGGGATTGCTATGCTCTTCATACTCCATTGAATAATCACTAAGCTCTTTTAAGAGCTTGTTCCTGCTTCACTCTCTGGGGAAAGAGAGGTTCACCCACTGGTCCCTGGAGCCTTGTCATAGGTCCATGGTGTGTAGGAGACAGTAAGAACCCAACCAAATGCAAAAGAATAATAAGCGCTCTCTTCTCAGGGATAAGCTGCAGTTCACCAACAAGGTGTTCCTCTACCTTGTGATAAATGGACAGATAAAATAGAAAGGTGAACAGCGCTAAAAATCAGAAAATGTACATACGTTTGTAGAAATACTGGCCAACAGAGTAACTTAAAAAAAGAGAGAAACAAAAATACAAATAATGGTACAGTATGTATTAACGATATAATTCCACAAGAACAAAGGTGTTATATTCACACTCACACTTTGAGGAGCTATATCAGCTCGGTGTTAAGAGCCTGGACGGAATAATCCCCGTCTATGGATTTCTTGAGGTTCAAGACCGTTGGTGAATTTATAGTTGTAAATATTATATACTAGAGCAACGACCTGCTCTAGTTTGGAGAATTTCAGGTGGAATAATCCCCACCTTGGGATATAGTGGACCCAGGTATAGCAGCAAAGCAGTATTGGATAGGAAGGAGGACAAAAGGAATGACTGGATAGTTTAAAAAATATATATACTTTAATACAATAAGTGAAAAGTGAATAATAAACTATAAAACCAGTCCTGTATAAAAGTCCAAAATTCTTCCTCACTTGACGCGTTTCGCCGAAGCTTTCTCAAAAGTGAATGCTTGCTGCTTGGGGTCTTTGAGATTATATACCTTCTCTGATGATGAAAATCGATTCTGCTGTGCATATTTCCTCATTTCCTGTTTTCAGCAAGATAGCATAGACAGGAAGTTCTCCGGACACCATCTTGGATGTGGGCAATTTGTGGGAAAGTTCAAAAATAGGAATCAAAGGTATACTATAACATAATAACATATTGAATCAGATAAAAACGTGAATAATTACAGATGTGGGCACACATAGGGTATATGGTAGTGGAAATCGATTCTACTACGTGTATTTCCTCATTTCCTGTTTTCAGCAAGATAGCATAGACAGGAAGTTCTCCGGACGCCATCTTGGATATGGGCAATTTGTGGGAAGTTCAAAAATAGGGATCAAAAGTATACAATAACATAATAACATATTGAATCAGCTAATAACTTGAATAATTGCAGAAATGGATACACATAGAGCATATAAGTGACATAAAAGATATAATAATTAATTACTTGTTAGTGTCATAAACGAAACTGTTCCGGCCGCCATTTTAGATATGGGCTAGTGATATAAATTGAGCTCAAAGGATGCCATATCGAAAAAGGAAATACTTTAAATGGAAAGGGGGCATGTATATACAGCTAGGGGAAATATAAATAGTATAAAAACACAGTAGTATCTGCATAAAAGGGTGTAAAAGAATTTATAAACACCCATTGAAAATGGGTTATAGAACGAGTGATAAAAAATAAATTTTACAAAATGAATTATAAGAAATGAACCAAATCGAATTCTATATTAAGTCCATTTGGGTGGAGGGTATCTAAACGATAGACCCACTCCATTTCTAACTTGCCTATGTTTCTGATGGTGTCGCCCCCTCTCCAATGTGGTTTATATTTAGCAATACCCAAAAATTTTAATAGGCTGGGGTCTTTGTTGTGCTGTAAAAAGTCCGCGAATGGGAAAACAGATGGATATGGGAGGGGCATAGCTGGTGCGCGAACCTGGTCTCATATCATCGCTATATCGATGATCTCCTCTTTATATGGGAAGGACCCATGTCTTCAGCGGAATCCTTCATTAATTACTTAAACCAGAATAATGAAGGTATAATTTTAACTTCCAATTTTAGTAATCATACAGTAACCTTTTTAGATTTAGAACTCTATGTTAAAGAGAACACACTTTGCACTAAAACACATTTTAAGGAAGTACATACTAATACCTTTATCAGCTATGATAGCTGCCACAACCCCATATGGCTTAATGGAATACCCAAAAGCCAATTCCTCAGACTGAAAAGAAACTGCTCAGAAGCATCAGTATTTCACACTCAAGCAACTAACATGAAACAAAAGTTCATACAAAAAGGCTACAACCCCAAAACAATAGACAAAACTATAATATCAATAGATGAGACACAGAGAGAATCACTATTGCTCCAAAAACCACCTAAGGACCCTCAAACCAACAGATTCACAATTCCTTTGATATTCGACTATAATAATAAAAACAAACATATCAAAAAGATTATTAACAAAAATTGGCATTTACTTAAAGAGGATCCAATACTAAGTGAAGCCCTACCAGATAAACCCACTATAAAATATAGAGGTGCACCTAATCTAAAACTACAACTTACAAATAATTTCACTAGAAATCAAAATATACAAAAAAACAATTTTTTAACTATCAATAAAGTTTTTTTTAGATGTAACACGTGCATATCATGTAGAAACACACACAAAATGGAAAAATGCACATCAGAGTTTAAGTCTAACAGAAACAAAAAGCTCTTTAACATTAATGAAATTTTAACGTGTAATAGTAATAACGTAATCTACATGTTAGAGTGTCCATGTGGACTACAATACGTCGGCAGAACAATAAGACCATTGAAAGTAAGAATTAGTGAACACTGCCGTAATATCGAAAAAGGCTACAAAAATCACTCTGTATCTGCGCACTTTTTACAGCACAACAAAGACCCCAGCCTATTAAAAATTTTGGGTATTGCTAAATATAAACCACATTGGAGAGGGGGCGACACCATCAGAAACATAGGCAAGTTAGAAATGGAGTGGGTCTATCGTTTAGATACCCTCCACCCAAATGGACTTAATATAGAATTCGATTTGGTTCATTTCTTATAATTCATTTTGTAAAATTTATTTTTTATCACTCGTTCTATAACCCATTTTCAATGGGTGTTTATAAATTCTTTTACACCCTTTTATGCAGATACTACTGTGTTTTTATACTATTTATATTTCCCCTAGCTGTATATACATGCCCCCTTTCCATTTAAAGTATGTCCTTTTTCGATATGGCATCCTTTGAGCTCAATTTCTATCACTAGCCCATATCTAAAATGGCGGCCGGAACAGTTTCGTTTATGACACTATCAAGTAATTAATTATTATATCTTTTATGTCACTTATATGCTCTATGTGTATCCATTTCTGTAATTATTCAAGTTATTAGCTGATTCAATATGTTATTATGTTATTGTATACTTTTGATCCCTATTTTTGAACTTCCCACAAATTGCCCATATCCAAGATGGCGTCCGGAGAACTTCCTGTCTATGCTATCTTGCTGAAAACAGGAAATGAGGAAATACACATAGTAGAATCGATTTCCACTACCATATACCCTATGTGTGCCCACATCTGTAATTATTCACGTTTTTATCTGATTCAATATGTTATTATGTTATTGTATACCTTTGATTCCTATTTTTGAACTTTCCCACAAATTGCCCACATCCAAGATGGTGTCCGGAGAACTTCCTGTCTATGCTATCTTGCTGAAAACAGGAAATGAGGAAATATGCACAGCAGAATCGATTTTCATCATCAGAGAGGGTATATAATCTCAAGGACCCCAAGCAGCAAGCATTCACTTTTGAGAAAGCTTCGGCGAAACGCGTCAAGTGAGGAAGAATTTTGGACTTTTATACAGGACTGGTTTTATAGTTTATTATTCACTTTTCACTTATTGTATTAAAGTATATATATTTTTTAACTATCCAGTCATTCCTTTTGTCCTCCTTCCTATCCAATACTGCTTTGCTGCTATACCTGGGTCCACTATACCCCAAGGTGGGGATTATTCCACCTGAAATTCTCCAAACTAGAGCAGGTCGTTGCTCTAGTATATAATATTTACAACTATAAATTCACCAACGGTCTTGAACCTCAAGAAATCCATAGACGGGGATTATTCCGTCCAGGCTCTTAACACCGAGTTGATATAGCTCCTCAAAGTGTGAGTGTGAATATAACACCTTTGTTCTTGTGGAATTATATCGTTCATACATACTGTACCATTATTTGTATTTTTGTTTCTCTCTTTTTTTAAGTTACTCTGCTGGCCAGTATTTCTACAAAACGTATGTACATTTTCTGATTTTTAGCGCTGTTCACCTTTCTATTTTATAAGAACCCAAACCAAGCTGCAGCAGTTCAGGTGGTCTGCAGTACTTATGGTATCAATTGGAGTGCTTGGAGCCCTCGGGAAGCACTAGAAGCATCCTTCAACGGAGGTACTCATTCAGGGTACCAGGTGGTCCTTTAAAATGAGCAATACTCATAAGGGGATTGGAAACAACACCAGAGGATGAAAACACCAACTACTGGTAGATCAAGCAGTCACAAGGGATTCTAAGACCAGACAGACCAAACTGTGTACGGCCTGGATTGACTACAAGAAAGCCTATGACACAATGCCACACACATGGATACTGGAATGCTTGGCTCTCTACAAGGTCGGCAAGACAATAAGAACCTTCATCAAGAACTCGATGGGCAAGTGTAAAACAACTCTAGAAGCCAATTCCAGGACAATTACTCAAGTGAACATGAAATGTGGCATAAACCAAGGTGATGCGCTATCCCCAATGCTCTTCAGCATAGGCCTCAACCCCCTTAGCCAGATCATCAAGAAGAGTGAATATGGATAAAAGTTCAAGAGTGGAGCTACCATCAGCCACTTACTCTACATGGATGACATCAAGCTGAATGCCAAGAATGAGCAAGACATTGACTCACTGATCCACCTAACTAGGATATACAGCAAGGACAATGGAATGTCGTTCGGACTAGAGAAGTGTGAGTGGATGGTAGTAAAGAGAGGGAAGATGATTAGGACAGAGGGAGTTGAAGTTCCAGAAGGCCAAATAGAAGATGTAAAGAACAGCTACAAGTACCTGGGTGTACCAAAAAACGCATGGCAAACATAAGGAAGAGGCAAGGAGGATAGCAAAATCCAAGTATCTCCTAAGAGTCAGACAGGTCCTGAAGTCCCAGCTCAATGGCAAGAAAAGAGATCCAAGCCATCAACACATATGCCCTATTTGTCATCAGGTACCCAGCTGGAATAATAACCTGTCCAAGAGAAGAACTGGTCACCATGGATGTCAACACCAGGAAACTACTCATTATGAATGGAGGATTCCACCCAAAATCCAGCACCCACTGTACACCTGCTGGAAGGAAGGAAGTGGGGGCCTGATAAGTTTCAAGGCCACAGTCCTGGATGAAACACAGGGCATCTACAAGTACTTCTTTTTCGAGGATGCAAAAAAAGAGGAGGTTCCTTGGCAAGACAAACCTTTCCATGGGGAGTACCACTGGCAGATAGTAGATGTGGCTCACATGACAAAATCCTACCAGTGGTTGGAAAAGGCAGGACTGAAAGACAGCACGGAAGCACTAATCCTAGCAGCACAGGAACAGGCACTCAGCACCAGATCAATAGAAGCTGGAGTCTACCACACCAGGCAAGACCCAAAGTGCAGACTGTGCAAAGAGGCCTTTGAGACTGTCCAGCACCTAGTAGCTGGATGCAAGATGTTATATATTTGCATGTAATTATATGTAATAATATTATAAACAATAGCATATCTATAATACTATAAATGAAGGTGATGGACTACTACTAATAACAAAAAAAACTGATAGAGGTATTTTCAATTTGACAGGGATCCCATTGACAGATGAAGAGATTAACCTATTGTCTAAAGGAATGAACTTTGGTCCCAACAAAATGGCCAATGATTTTAATCTGTTTATCTGTTTATGGATTTGAAGAAATGTAT